ACGTCAACTTATGAAGTGGGTGAACTGCGGACCCGGTACCGCAGCTCAGCGTGTCCGACCTTGACTGACCTTGGTGTTGAGTCCCTGACCCATCTCGACGCCCCCGTGGGACAAGGCCACCGTGCCGTCCTTGTCGTAAACAGAGATCAGCGCCATCATCTTGGACACCTGCTTCACCGGGTACCGCATCGGCACCAGCGCCAGCGATCGCTTGCGCCAGCGGTTGGCCTGGAATGACGCGGCGTCGACATTCAGAACCAGCGCTGGCGTCGCTCGAAGGGGCAGGCGAACCGAAAAGCTGATCGCTGGTGATGGAGAGTCAAGTGCGAGACTTTCAAGGCTGAGAAAAAGTGCTGAACAGTGGTGGGCTTAGACCTGAAACGTGACAAGCATAATCCAGTCCCGCAGCATATCTGAGAGACAGCATCTATGGGGAGCTCTTTCACTAGACAGTTTAACAAACCCGGACGGTTAACGCAGCTGTCATCTCATTCAGCGGAAAATTTAGCTTCCGTCCTTACTCGAACGAACTCCAGCCAATCGAAACACAGGTGATATACCCGCCAGAAGATATCGAGACACCGAATGCAGTGAGCGCGCTGAATTCCAACGTTATGTGCAGCATGGGTCTAGGCTAATGTTAATTCCACAGTGCTGTCAGAAATCGTTGCTGTTACTTGTAGGCAGAGATGATGGGTGCAATATCTAATCACACCGTAGACGTGCATGCGATCATATACCTGATTGAATACTTCTATCTCGGCCTTCCTCTTGTTGATTTCCCCCTTGTCAAACATCTCGTCGATCAGCATCTTAAACACCTTGCTGTCCTGCTCCGTACCCAAAGGCGTGCTGTAAATAATAAACAAACGTATCAAAAATTAAGTCATGACATTTTTTATAACGCCAAGTATGTAGAAAACGCCCTCATTTAGGTAAGAGTGTCTGGTGTACGGGTCCTTCAATTCGCCGTGTATGCAATTAGTCCCTGCTGGCACTGACATGTAATTGCTAGCCCAGTTTAGCGCCTGTCCAGCCAACTCTGTCACCCAGCTCCCTACGAGGTGAACGCTAAGTGGCGTAACGCCCTCTGATGGACTAGGCCTCCCAAAGGGAGGGGGATTCCCTCAAGGGGAATACGACGGTCTCAGGGGAGGAACTGCAACGCACCCAAATCATGTTTGGGTCATGGAAGGTACCTATCCTGTCAGCGCCAGCAGGTCAACGTGAACTGGAGGGCGATGCTGCCACATACGCAGTCACGCACCACATGCACTGAGCAGAACACATCTGCCATAGTAGCCTAGCGTAGGGCCTGTATTTCCACTGATATTGCGTGTTCAGGTGCGGCGATTCGCTTCAAGGCCAGTTCAGTGGTTTGAACTGTGTTCCCGAATACTACAGCCTTCTGGATGCATCAGATGTGGGGCCAAAGCCCTCCTCTTCATATAATATCACACAAAGGGATCACACGCCAGGACCAGTCCGTAATAGGACGCGCCTCGGGTTACGGCCCCAGTCACCCCGAGGCGTTCGACCCCCGCTCGGCTGACGATCGGCTATTTTGGGAGTCAGCCGCACCGGCAGCTGCCTTCGCCTGCCGCGAACGCTGTGCGAGACGGGAACTTGGAATACAACTTTGGGTCCTGTCAGACGTCTCCCTTTCGTGCCTCGCCGACACAGACGGTTATATGGTTCAATTTCTGCAGGAATGCCAGCGATATTGCGCTTTTCGCCATTTGTGTAATATGCGCGATTAATTCCAGTCACATTACAGTCACTTCTAGAGTAATGTATCGCAGAATATACATCGCGTTGTGACAAAAGTACCGGAAAAATGTACGATGTCAGCAGAGTTCGGATATTTGCCGCCATTCATGCGGCGCTGATGTCGTTATACTCACGGGACGGCGTCGGTGGGGAGGGCAAAGTTGGCCAGGCGCACCTCCCACGGGTCCTTGTCCAGCTGGTGAGCCACGCGGTTCATCACCATCTCAATCGCAGCGATGGCGTTCGTGGAGCCTGCGGACGGCGACGGACCATCGGAACACGCCCGTGAACGGAATCATCTCCACGACGAGCGAAGCCTGTAGTCGATGCTGTTGCGTTGGCGTGTGTTCGATGCCCAGAGTGGCGAGTATTACTCTTGTTCAAGTTGGGTAGACGTTGGCTTTTAGCCTTTCAGCAGTCAACTTACCTGCTGGCCTACGCTACACGCAGATGTACTGCCTGCCATCTGCTTCATGGCGTTAGAAAGGTGACAGAACCTTCGGTACGCTGGGAAAATATTAGTTATACGTGCATTATCAATTCATCGCTTGAGATACAATTTAGGGCCTCTTTGAAGCCGTTGTCTATGAACATGTTGGGCTGTAAACGGCCTCCTATCGTGTGATCTACATTTCAGGTTCGTCATGGGCCTGGTGACGCACAAAACCCAATGACGTCACGTTTTTGGTCACCACGTCATTGGGCTATGACACCAGAAAGCATATCGGGCCGCACACCGGATATGTTTACTGCGGATTCTATCAGGGGTTTTCCCTCCTTTTCCACATCCAGCTGACGTTCAGCGCCTGCCGGCCATATTGCACCCACCAGGCGCCCTGCAGGCGTTGAGGAGCTGCTGGTTCGTGGCAACTGTACCCCTGCTGCACCTACCGGTTACCATACAGGCGATGAAGAGCGGCTGGTTGGTGGTAACTGTACCCCTGCTGCACCTACCGGGCGCCCTGCAGGCGGTAAAGAGCGGCTGGTTGGTGTAGACAGTTCCGGGCGTGACGAGCCAGTTGTCGGCGTTGTAAACGTTCTTTGTCATGCTTATGGCCTCCGCCAGCTCGGCGAAGCTGAGTATGCTGTTAGAGTACCCCTGGTCACCGATCAGGTGCATCTTCAGGGCCAAGATCTTGCCGGAGTCGTCGAAGCCAACCTGCGACGCGTCAGTGTGAACATTGGTGTGATGTGCGCTTAGTGACAACGTTCCGCGAGCTTCCCAGCCACGCACAGATGTGTCTGCCTATGATAGCGCAACTGTGCTACCAAATCCCAACACGAGTTCGTGCGGTCCAGAGCTCGAGTGTTCGGAGCTCAACACAGGTAACGTTACACTGGTACACAAACGACGTGGCGCCTTTCTGCCAAAAGTAACACGCCATTCTACACGCAGGCGACTACGTCAACTTGGATGAACGTACCTCGCAAGACCACACCTGTGCAACAAATTCGTCCTCGCAGTCTCCGTTGCTCTGCGCGAGTTCTGCCGACCAGCCCTCGAAGCTCACCTCGTATGAGATCAGGTACGGCACGCGGCCGCTGCACATGGAGATGTTGGTCTCGATGTCCAGCACGATCCGCACCGGCTTGTTGAGCTTGACGGCCGCCAGGGCGGCAGCACTAGCGATTGGCAGCGGGTTGGTCGTCTTGCCGCCGTACCCGCCGCCTATGCGACGCAACTCGCAGTTGATCCTGTGCAAGGAGCGATGCTCAGGCATGGGAAGCGAACGGAGAGGTGGCCTTCTGTAAAGGTTGGTGTGCGAACTACATTCAGTTTTAATATAAGGCATTGACGTGCCGTAGTGAAGATGGCTGGATAAGGCATTACCGTGCCGTACTGAAGATAACTGGGTGTATTGCAACTTGGCCAATTTCATCCACACATGATTATGTAACAACTACTCACTGGCCTCAACTACTTACTGGCTACTAAAGAACTGGTATTATTGGTGTTTTGTCAGCTCTTTTACTGTTTTCGTTTTGCCGTCAAACTATTGCTTGCCTTGTCTGACTTCTGTTTATGTGCTCCCAATGTCTGATTTTTTCATTATTTTGTAACGTTCTACATGTGCACAATCTGTTTGTAGCACCCTATGCCCAACGATTTGCGGTATCGCTCGCGGGACACTCCGGACCTGTGATGTTTGGATACGGAAGTCAACAGCCGGTGTATTTTAGCAGAGGCAGGGCATGTCTACGTTAACCGGAAACTCGGTCCTACACGGTAGATTACTTGACGTCTGTTTATCGTTTCAACAAATCATGCTCGAATAATACAGAGTCGATCCTCCTCTTCTTGACGAACATTAAGAAGAGCAGCGTGGCCGTAATGGTGTCGTAGCAAGCTGCATCACAGCTATGACATGTAACAACCTATACCAGAATGCTACCTCCAACAATTTCACAGTCGGCTTCAGCGAAAATTCCTGCGTGAAAGAATAAAAGTGCGCTCAATTTCTAATCGGATTTTCAAAATTTGGCACTTTGTTACCTGAACAAATCGGCCAAGAAAAAGTGGGCTACAACTTCAACGTGAACCACGTAACCGCACGTGCGGAAGCGCATCGAAACATTCAGAGCTCAGAGCTTCCAATAGCCGTAACGTCCAAAAGCGCTGTATGCAGCGATAAAAACATCCAAAAATGATCAAATGTCCCTGGACAAGACAAGAGAGAATCACAACATCCAAGCTTGCAGCATCCAAAATCACAGCATCCCAAAGTTCATAACAGCCAGCATTCATGACGGTCGAAGGTTAGCAAACAGTAGCAATTCAAGCCTATCAAATGGACGTCGCTATCACTGAATGTCGGTTGGATGTAAATCGGATGTCATGGTCTTGGACGGTGTAAGCGTGAATGATATGAGTTCCTCCAATGGACATTGAATTGGACGCATTCTGGACGTTATGAACGCTAGATGTTGCGATTTTGATTGGTAGAAACACTGGCCACTATGATCTTGAACATTTTGATGACCGCGCCTTGCCGATTTGGTGGATCTTGGACACCGCGGCCACGCCTTGCCGTCTCACTTGTTGGTGGGGATGTTGACAGCGTCGGACACCCGGTCGGCCACGTCTCGCATGCCCTGCGCGGCGCAGTAGACGTTGAGCTGGCCGTCCTCGCAGGGCACCACCCGCACCGACTGGGTCTCCATGTAGAAGTGGTACTGCGAGCCCATCTCCCACTCTCCGGAAGCGCGGTGCGGGGCGCCCTTCATGGCGGCTGCGGGAGGGGACCGAGAGGTCGATTTTCTGTTTGAGGAACTGTTGAACTGATAATCGCGACGCAGGGGCGGCGCCACATGTTTTGAGCTGGTTGCAGGATTTTTGAGAAGGCCACCTGAGACCTTCCACAGGGTGGCCTCCTGGACAGTTTCGTATTCAAGGGGAGGGTACCGAAGGGCATTTGCTCCTTTATCAAGCTGTTACATGCGTCGTATCCCTGCGCCTCAGCTACCTAACACATGACCCCCTGTTCCAGAAAAGGTCCACCTAAGCATAGAAGGTGCCTCATAACCTAGGACAGGGCCTCGCGAGCCAGCAAAGGGGCCTCATCAACACAACATTGAGCCTCCTGATCTAGAGCATGGGCTACCTTATTTATAAAGGCGGTTTCATGATAAAGATGACAAAGAAGATTTTATCAAGGCAATGATCTCTTGCAGAGAAAGGTCTTCTGAGCTGATTTTAGTGCCCTCTAGCTCAGCTATGGGGGCTCCTTAATTTGAACTTAAGGTAATGCCCTGATGCCATGTGGTGTCTTGAATATTTGATATAAGAAGATGTAAACAATTTCTTGTGTGGATGACACGTCTCTCATACGGATCAAATGCATACCGATAACTCTGACCATTCTCCCATGGCTCTCAACCACGCGGTCTGTATAAATTTTCCACACCCATACGTGTCGGGTAAGGGGGGGGAGGGAGAGTCAAACAAACGCAGGCCTTTCTCCGCACCTTCCGCGTCCCCGGTGGTGACGTTGGCCGGCACGAAGGTGCTCTGCTGTCTGCCCTCTGGCTGGGTTTTCAGCGCCTCCTTGATGCTGATCACCGGCTTCGCCACCTGCAGGTACTCGACACGGACTAGTGCTGCCGCCGTGCGGGCGATCGCCTGGGTGTCGGCCACCACCAGGCCGACGGGCTGGCCGCAGAACCGCACCGTGTCCCGAGCGAACACCTGCCGACAGGGACAGGCAGGCGTAAAATGTATACTTAGTGCATTCATTGTGAGGAAGAAGCGGTACTGGTCACTTTTGATCAAAATGACATTGACTTGAACTCGGGAAGATCATGGACCATGCACAGTCAAGGTTAGAAGCTTAAAACTTATGCAACTTGGGTAAAAATGATGCAAACACAGGTTACCAAACATTCAGCATCGCACTCAAGCCACTCGTAAATTGCTTACATAAATTACTTACTTAATTAATTAATTACATAAATTACTTAATTAAATTACTCGCACTCATAAATTATTCCGGACACACCCTAGGTCACTCTGAGGCCAACATAGCAGGGCGGGGGTTGAGAGCACCATATCTTAACCAGGACCGAGCTTAGGGGACAGCCCTGTAACAATCCATACTAAAAACAACGATGCAATGGATTACCGGTCAATGCTTAGCCCACCTTACGGTCCATCACGGTCTGTCGCCTAACATAGGTCAGGTAAATGAATACTTAGGATTAGGTCAGCGGCTTCATAATGGTCTTTATGGCAATGCAACCATGTGGAAACAGCTACTCTACTGGCTCCCGAGCAAGATGCGCGCTTTTCTACCTCTTCGAGTGTCATCTTGGTGGAATCGATGCCAAAAGCGGGGAGAAATTCACTCAATGAGTAGTATTCGTTAGAGCCGATGAAGTCCTTCGCGGTGAAGAACGCTCGAACTCCTTTCACGGCCTATCAAACACACACAAGATGAGTTAAACACAAACATGTCAAGCACAAACACAAGCAAGAGCGGTGCAGTGTTGACAACAGTATCCAAGCGTGATAAGGCGAGCCAATGGAATTCTTGCGCTGGAGGTGATACTTATCCAGGGCTATAAGCCTTCATGCTATCACACGTGAATAGTGACATCACCATCCACGTCAATTTGTCAACAATTCGTGCTGATTTTGTAGAGTACATCAAGTATCGATGTAGCGACAGGCAACGGTATGGACCACACCGGTAGTGTACTGGTGTCGTACGCTGTGGTAAGTCTTCGGGACACAACAAGGCCATCAGTCTCACCATGGCGGCCGAAGCGTCGATGGCGCCGAGCTTGGCGTTTGCGACCTTGGTGAGCACGTAGTAGCCGTGCAGCTCCCCCGGCAGCTCGGGCTGGTCGTCCACGTACTCGGCCTCCCCTGCGGCCGTGTCGCACACGTCAGACCGAGCTCGGCAGCTGGTGTGACATTACTTCTGTGTCGGCGTGCTGCTGGGAGCTGGGGTTACACGGGTAGTGGGGCCTTTTGCATAAGATTGAAGGACCAAAACCCAACTGTGGGCACCAGGTTTTGCAGAGTCGCACCATGCATGCGTATGGATACGCTGATGTGTTAACAAGGCCACGGACCACAAGCCCAAAGCGACGGAACGGACCTAGCCAGTCAGGCCTAGATACAGGAGGATGGTCAGTCCAATAGCAGGTCCAAAGCAGGTCGGTCCAATAGTGGGTTCAGTAGCAGGCCAGCCCAACAGCGGATCCAATGGCAGGTCAGTCCAATAGCGGGTCCAATAGCAGGTCAACCCAATAGCCGGTCCAATAGCAGGTCAGTCCAATAGTAAAAGCAGGTGTTCGCGAGGCTTGCAAAGACCCGTGGATGCATTGACCGTGGATGCAGTCACCATTAACAAGTGCTGCCGCGCTGTGGTCCAAGCGTACTGCACCTCGCTGTGGTCCAAACGTACTGCACCTTGCTGTGGTCCAAACGCACTGCACCTCGCTGTGGTCCGAGCGTACAATACCACGCTGTGGGCCAAACGCACTGCACCTCGCTGTGGTCCGAGCGTACTGTACCACGCTGTGGGCCAAGCGTACTGCACCTCGCTGTGGTCCAAGCGTACAATACCACGCTGTGGTCCAAGCGTACAGTACCACGCTGTGGGCCAAACGTACTGCACCACGGTGTGGTCCAAGCGTACTGCACCACGGTGTGGTCCAAGCGTACAATACCACGCTGTGGTCCAAGCGTACAGTACCACGCTGTGGGCCAAACGTACTGCACCACGGTGTGGTCCAAGCGTACTGCACCTCGCTGTGGTCCAAGCGTACAATACCACGCTGTGGTCCAAGCGTACAGTACCACGCTGTGGGCCAAACGTACTGCACCACGGTGTGGTCCAAGCGTACTGCACCACGGTGTGGTCCAAGCGTACTGCACCACACTCTAGTCCACGCGTACTGCACCACGCTGTGGTCCAAGCGCACTGCACCTCGCTGTGGTTCAAGCGTACAGTACCACGCTGTGGTCCCAGCGTACTGCATCTCGCTGTGGTCCAAGCGCACCGCACCTCGCTATGGTCCAAGCGTACAACACCACGCTGTGGTCCAAGCGTGTTGTACCACGCTGTGGTCCAAGCGTACCGCACCACGCTGAGGTTCAAGCGTACTGCACCACGCTGTGGTCCAAGCGAACTGCACCACGGTGTGGTCCAAGCGTACTGCACCACACTCTAGTCCAAGCGTACTGCACCACGCTGTGATCCAAGCGCACAGCGCCTGTCACCTGGTGTTAGAGGACTTCGTGGGCTAGGTACAGTCATGAATACCCAGATGCAATGGGTAACAGGGTTGACTGGGCACAACATTTGGGAAAATGTGGGGTATGGGCACGAGTTTTGGTAAGACGTTTACAAAGTGCTGGCTACATACTTTCAAAAAGCTATATGATGTTGCAAATGACTGCACTTGTTTGGAATTGTTTACTCCCCCGATTCACACTACTGGTCGTGTTGTCACCGCAAGACAGCAATTTTTTATGAACTTCGCCGGAACTTTTCTATAACTTAGGGTGAATGTGCTAGATAAACGCAGTGTCATGGGTCAGTTGGGTAAGGAACATCTTAAGCTTGAAGGCTTCTAGTACCGACGGTTTGCCCGCCACCAAACGAACGCAAAGAGCTTGTTCAGTATAGTTCGAGATTTAATTGCTACTACAGTGCAGTATGGTAGCTTGCAGCATGGTAGTTTATAGCACCTTATCTCGATAAAAATGTATGATTCACAATATTCCGATCCAATGGAAGCCCGGCGACCGAGGCTTCGTTGCATGCAACAAAAGTGGACGGCGCACAAACCAATTTGCTGGTAGATAGCAGGCTTAAATGGCCAATAGCATGAAAGTGAAATAACGCTCTTCGCGGTTTTCACCAGCTCTTAGTCTTAAAATTTAATAAAAATCAATTGTGCCTTGTTGTTCGGATTCAGCCTCGCGCACTTCTCAGCGTCATGAATGTAGCACAGTGGTTGCTCGGCCTGTCCACTCGTGTCAGAGTACGTCGCGGTAGCCTTAAAGGCACCAACACACTAACTTAATACATCAGGACCGCATGTGTTATCTGCTTGCGTTGACTCAAGCCACCCTCAATGACTCGCACTTCCCTAGAGCGGCGTGATGTGATCTTTGTGACGCAGCACTTCCTAATGAAGTGTTTGAGCTTTCCACTCTGCGCGCACCTTTGTTGACTTAGTCTACATGGCTGCGCCGCGGATAATGTGACGACAGAGCGTCAGTTTCGGCTGTTGACCTTACAGCCGGGGCGTCCGCCCCAGCGGACGGCCAGCGGTGCGGAGTGACCAGAGCGCCGACCATTGGGCAGTAAGGTCTGGGGTGCCGGTGGTCGTGTTCTGAGGGTTAAAGTGTTGATTCCTTGGTGTGGTGCTAACAGGAGCTGTCCAGCCGGTCCGATGGCTGATGCCTGAACTTCTTTTTCAGACTAGCGTTCTGGAGACGTTCGCTGTGGGCGCGTGCAGGTCTGGGTGACCAATTGGTAAAAGGCCGGTCCCAAGGATAGCACGATCTGAACGACTGCCCGGTTGACCAGTTGTTAGTGTAGAGAGTTCGTTAGTGCTCTGGTACGAAATACACTGTTTCTGTTCGCCTATCGAGTAGACCGTCGATCTCACTTCACCAGCAGGTGGAGGCCTTCAAGGCTAGGATTTCCTGCCCGTGTGCCCGATCGACCCACCACCGGTTACCCGTTGCGTTGATTAGCACTTAGTCCTAATTTATGGGTACCGATGGAGGAGACTGATCAAAAGAAGCGCGAGCGAAACATTCTAACATTTCTAGAAGCGTCCATCCGGCATTTCGTGGACGTGTTTGTCAAACCCACACTCATACCCACAATTTACAACAGATGTGACAGTTTTCAATTATATATGGGTATCCAATGAGCTCACCCCGCCCGTCAAAACCTTCAAACGTGCATCGATAGGTTTGCCGGTGGTTTTTCCATGTCTGATATATAGGAGTTCTTGCTAAACATGGGTTGTCACATAGACCCCGACCGCACCGCCCAAATCGTAAACATTGTGCAATAAACCAAACCCAGTGTTTGAGGAAACAAAACTAGAGTTTTCATCGTTTTTCGCTATGCCGGGGCGTGGATGGCCGTAACCAAATTATCGTCGCCTAAAGACGAAACGTTGAGGCTTTCACTGTGCGGCTCAGATCCCAGTGACTGCTGCCAGCCGACTAACGGCTGCAAATTCGTCCAGGTTAGTGGGCCACGGAGGTGAGCAGCTGTAGGGCTCCGCACTTCCAGTTGTGTCCGGCACGTTGGGCACATATCAGTGCTGATGCCCGTGTGCTGTTTCGGCGGGGCGGGGGAGGGGGGGGGGGGGAGGGAGGAGTACAAGACAACCTAACTCCATGCGTCAGCAGAACCGCAGCCCTCCAACTTTGAACATGTCATGATTCCCGTATCTAAAGTGCCGTCAGAGCAAAGAGTCCTTGAACTCTGCCCACCAACACACAATCGTCAGAGTTGTGACCTCGGGCGAGCACCACCTCGCTCGGCCAGCCCAGGCCGTTGACGAACCTGACGTCTGGATCTGCGCCTCCAGCTTGGGCACGGCCTTGTTGACCGGCCAGAGTGTCTTGTCCGTGTCAAACTCCTGCGTGCCACGCACCAGTGACCGGGTCAGGTCCTGACCCCCGGACCTTAGATGGGCCGGCACCCGATCGCCCAGCGTGTGTAAGATCACCTGGAGGCAGAGAAGACACCGCGGTGATAGGACCGGGCCAGCGCTGGCCGAAACAAGTTCCGGTATGTGTCGTGTTGCGTGCATGCTGCACACGCGTTAAATGGGACCAGCGGGGAATGGAAAGGAAATGGGCCGAATACAACTCAAGGCTATCATTATTGACGAGAAGGCATCGGTCTGGATAATGCAAATAACGGACCCGAGGATCTGAGAGTGGGATATTCTCATGGGAGATTTCATGGGATCCAGGATGTGGCCATGGAATCCAGGTAGGCATGCGTCCTGTAAAGAACAATGCAGAACTACTGTAACACAATAACAGATGTTTCACAATCTTAACATTATAATGCTGTATAGCGTCAATGTCATGGGCGTATGTATACCCGCATTTAAAACTCTTCAGTTACATTTATCTACATTACACCTACACCCACCTTTTCAAACAACACACGACTACCTAGAGTCATCCAGCAGTACCCCAGACATCTCCACCAACCCCCTCACAGCTGGAGGCAAACCCAACTTGGCAATGTTCCAGCTGACCGCAAAGCAGCAGCTAGATGCCGACATGCTGCCCCGGTGCCCCCTCACCTTGTACAGCAGGTTGGAGGCGAGCGTCCTCCTGTAGGCGACGTCCGCCATCTCGGGGTCCGGGTCGGGCCGCACTTCGTCCAGCAGCGTGGCCAGCGCCCCCTTCAGGGTGGCCTGCTCCGCCAGGCAGCGCCCGGTCAGGTAACGCTCCGTTGCGACCGCGTGCACCTGAGTACGGGACAGGAGACCACACGTGGGTGACATGCAAGGAGATGGCACAACGACCTCATGATTTCAACAAATGATCATACTGGAATCGCATTGACGAGGCCAGGAGTCTTGTGTTTCATCGCTGGATCTCAGTGTTCTTCCCATAAAACAGACAGCCTAGATCATGAGTGTTTCGTACGAGTTTGCGAAGCCAGCACATAGAATATTTAACACCCGTATCAGATCACATCGTGACATTTTACGAGGAGAGCCAGTTCTCTTCTCCACGACTCACGAAAGTCCCGCTGATTCCGCCGAACAGCAGCGTGGGGCGCTCGGTGATCTTAGCTGTGGCCGGGTCGAACGGCAGCACGAAGGCCGCGTTGACGTATGCGTGGGCGCTGATGGCTCGCGGGGTGATCTGCAGCACAGGCGGGCTCGGTCTGAACGGCCCGGAAGCCGGCCGGACGGGCTCAAGTCTTGTGACTCGGGCAGTAACGAAGTGTCTCGAGGTATTACTGGAGCTCTTCTTGAACTGAGCTCCCAGGATCCAGTGCAATAAAGCCCGCCATACGCTTTTCACTGCTGTGGTAAAAGCAAGCCAATTGTAATCGTGTTTATTACATATTTACCAATCCAGTCCAATTCACTCATGGGCAATCCTTAACACGCGCTCGGGTGGGGGTCAATTGGCCTTTCCGAAGGTTTTTTTCCGGAATGGTTTCCGAACAAGGTGGCGTATCCGCACTAAATTTTGCATAGCTGTAGAAAATTAGATAACAGACCGTTTTGAATCAAAAGCTTAGATGTAGCTTGTAAGGTCGCTGACCTACGGCATGTCAAGGTTAGGCCATGGATTCAGCGAAGGCAATTTCTAGGGAATCGCTCAATGTGATGCAATAACGGAGTGTTAGACAAAGCCATACGTCTCTGAAATACTTTCTTAGGCAACACAATGATTAAATAAACACATTTTATTGACCTGGGGTCGGGTATGAGGGTCAAACCAAGGTCAAAACCAACATGTTTTATTACTCTAGGGCTTGCTGTATAGGGTGATTTCTGGTGCTCATTTCGAATTTATTGATCGCAGGAACCACATTATACATCTACCATGGACTTGTTTAAGGTCAGAATAGGTTACTGCCCCAAAATGACCCAGGCCAACATTTTGTTTTAGGAACACACTGCCTAGCGTAATCTTTGTCGCTTATTCAAATGCAAAAGTCAAAGCAATCTTATATGATTTTGGTCGCCATGACCTTCAAAATGTCGGACAGGGCTACTGACCTAAAATGAGCACGTGACCTGTTGCATAGAACGGGCAACCAGTTTGTGGAGGCACTTTGGACACCAGCCTGGAGTTTAACCTTGCTTAACCTAGTCCGACCAAAAGGTCATGACCTAGGAGCTTCAAACGTTTGCCCAAGTGAGTTTACGTACAGTGAAACACACCCTGTGAATTTGGCGTCCCTAGCTCTCTTAGTTTATGAGATTTCAAGGGGGGGGAGGTCAAATTGACCCCCACCCGAGCGAAGCGTATCCAACCGGCCACCCGGGCGCGTGTTAATCCACCGATTTATTCAGCGAGCGAAAATCTTATGGCTGGAGGACGGGCCATTTGAGGATCCCCTTGCCACAACGCTATAGTCTTTATGTTATGCTCCAAGCTTATGGAGAGAACATGCCCTTAACCTTCTCGTGCTAACATACCCGGTATCCGTAAAATCGGACTGTGACAGTCGGAGATGCATTATGCTTGCTTGGATGCTCTTCCATATAGCTTAGAATATTTGTCAACAACATGTCCCAGTGATATCCTGCGCAAGCACCAATACAGTACTTACGGGAAAGCCGTCTTGTTTGCGCATCGGTTCAATGGGATTTTTAGCGTTGCTGCCCGATACCTACCTTGTAAGACTTGAACACATATTTTTTCTCGTCGATTGGAGGCAGGCTCATGGAGACGATGATCTTGTTTTTCATGCTGATCTCGAACATTTTTTCCACAGAAATTTCTTCCAGCTTCCTTCCCTCGGCTGGAATTGAACAGGTAAGCTGTCACTTGAATGCAATCATCTACTAAATTTGCGAGGGCAATGTTCTTGAGCTAAGGCATAGGTTGCAGCACAATTAACGCTAGCAGGTTATTGTGAATGACATGACGGATCAAATCGTCCGCTCATGGGTTTCCAGATATTTCAGTGTCGTCCACATGTACCCGATATCCCACGACCAAATAGGGACTCATTTGGTTTTCGCATGAGACGAACGGCCTGCAGTTTGTGAGCAGACCCGTGGGGCATCCAGAGTTGTGAAAAGGATCCCGGCTATCAACACTATCCCAATTTTAACAGTTTTCCTACAATTTTGTAATAATTTTAGCATGGCGGAGGGGTCCAGTGCTAAAAAGGAAGCATTTACACAGAGTGTGATAAGCATTACAGATTGTCAATGCGGTTATATAAGTGCTAATACTCAGTATCTGGATGCACATATTTGCACTTCCGACAATATTTGCTCAAACAATTGACACGTACAGCGCCAAAGGCATGTCCAGGTTTTGCGACAGGGAGTCTATGTAAGTGTAGCGTGAAAGCTAGGCCAGCCTTACGATGGTGCTACGAGTGGGTACCATAGGAAAATGTTCGCACAGGAGAAGCTGCAAAAAGGAAAAGAACCTTTCACGCAGAGACGCACCAGCGATGGAAGTAAGCGGGGCTCAGAACATCTGACTGTGGAATGCTGCAGTCCATCGTTTACTTTTATGCCGTTAACATTGTTTTAAGAGCCATGCCAGAGGCGAGTCCAGCAACGTGAAAATGGGAGGCATCAATGCACCCGAAGCCCATGGCCACTAACAGCGGGCAGTCGCCTGACCCATGTGACAATGGGCCACGACCCAATCACGCTTCCCTGCTACACTGTTTTGAAAATTGGCTGTGCCTATAGCACTTGTTTATACATCATACGGGCACCATGCTTGATTTATATATACATCATAGCAACATCATGGCCATCAGTGATATAATATACAACTATAAGTATGTTTATCAGGCACCTCCATTTGATGAGTTGTGCACGTCAATGCACGACAGCACAGGTGGAACGCAAGCGACAAAAGCTGTTGCAATCATCCACACTGACTAAAAAGCAGACTATTCGCTTATTAGCAGCGTTTTTCCTCAAAATTACCCCAGCTGCCCCCCAAGATCTCTGGGAGCCGAATGCCTGCTCCTCGCTAAAAGTGGGGGTATCGGGGAGCCTGCCCGGAATAAGGTCAAATGGAATGTCTTTGAACGTGTATTTGAACAGGCCTTTGAACGTAAACGAAGCTTGACAGGGGACTTGGCTAAGGGCAGCGTGTTGCAGTCTACAAATCACGAATAAGTCTTTTTAAAGTATTTGAAAAACTCAAATCGGCTACAGCTGGCTTCCTCTCAAGCCAAGTAATATGCCGTCTTTATTTCACACCCGTAGCTTAATTAAAGGGCAGACAGCATGCGTATTTGCGGGCGTTACGCTTAACAAAGTGTAACCAAGGGGACGGTTAGGGGAATTGGTCAGCACAAAGAGTGCGTTACCAGGGAAAGAGTGGGGTCGAAATGACTAACAATGCGTAAAGTATGTTACGGATCTCGCGGAGCCGATGATGTATCGACCATCAGCGATGGTGGTGGTCGCGTGTGTATCTCTGGTAATGTGTCAATTAGCGATGATTTAAGTTTGTATCAACTTTCGGCAGGTGCATGCCGTTTACCAACATATTAACATTCAAAATCGACGTTGAGATGGCGGTGGTGACTGCAGCCAATTTATCACATGGACTTATGTATCTTTGAATTTAAACTATCTCATTCAGTTGTCTCCTTACAGCGGGGGTTGGGAGCATCACAAGAAACCCGTATACTTACAGACATTTTGGTCAGTAATTATGAGGCATTTTTAATTAGTTAAACAAGTAAATATCATGACCCAGAACATTCGCAAAACGACATTACATGACGGGAATGGCTAGAGGATCGACTTGTCACCGTGAGCAGGAACTCACCGATCTTGAGCTTGGCCTTGGCTGCCGTGAGCAGCAGGAAGACGTCGGACGGGAACTCCCTGTGCCTGGTACTTGATCATCAGGTTGCCGGCCCAGGTGCCGGCGTTCCTCACCGGAGTGTTGGCCACCAGCTGGAGATGCTTGACCATCTCGGCACAGTGGCGGTACCCGGCGGTCTTACTCAACAGCTTTAGTTCTTCGATCAGCTCAGAGAGGGTGACGGCCGCGCCGAACACGGCTCGGGGAGCGTCGTGGATAATTCGGCAGTTGCTGCCGTTCGCCGGCCGCTTGATGGCGCGGAGTTCGGGGATTTTCAGCAGAGAGATGTAGCCGTCAGACGGGGCGTCGTACTTGTCGAGAACGCCTAGGGGACACGGCAGCGGTGTTACATCACTTCAGGAAGCACTGCTAGTTAGCGAGATGGACACTGAACAAGGTTATGTGTCCCAAGTCCCCCACACTGTCTTCCCACTCACCACCACGCAGTGAACCCCTGTAACGGCCCGTCTCACCAGAAGCGTACTGCGGCCATCAGTCAAGAGTCAGTCTCGTGTCTTCCCTGGCCACGACCCCGATCTGAACACACGCACAAGCCCCGAAGCAAGGTCCGCTGCTGGACAAGGTTTGGTAGCATACATTTTCAAGATGGCCGTAGTATTGCCCAACCACGCACACCTTTCCTGAATCCCATAGCTCTGAAGGCATCATGGCTTGCCGGAAAAGCTCTAGCCAAGCCAAAGTATCCTCCGTACTCTATTGACTTGACTCAGACATGGTCTGGCGTCGGCCTCCAGTTCAGCCCAGACAACGACATCCCAGGTTTTCGTACAGCAGCGCTTCCTGAGGCTGTAAGTCCCAGGTTCTCCTCAATGAAGGATGGCTGCAGTGTGGCCCCACACTCTTCGCTATAAGGATTTTTACAACTGGCTTGCATGCGGGGCTTTGGCCCCATCATACTTGCCGAGCAAAAATTATTGCGAAACCCGAGCTTTATTGTGAATTTGTTGCGAAAAGTTGTGCCACCCAGCGCAGCGAGCAATTTGGGATTCACCATTTCGCCAAACAAGAGTACATAGGGTTTTATGTACCACGCAACACAAAACGCAGCGGACCCTGGCCCGAGTTAAGCCTCGTTGGCCAGTTGCCAACTAGCCTTTCATGACAGATGCAGCGTGTAACGCGTCCGCTTTAAGTCTCATTCCACGTGTCGCTGAAAAAGGACCCGGCAGCTTTCCTCCAGACCACGGGGTCACCAACTGACCTCTCTTCTTAATCTCATGGTTTTGCAGCTGTCTGTACAGGCCAAACAAGCTCTAAAACGAGATTAAATCAAAACAAATAACGTCAATGATGGCCTCTGAACGTAAATATTTTTTTCATGTATAGCGTTTCGTGTTGAATGCAATACCGCGGGACAATATTAACACTAGGCCTCCAACAGAGTGCTCCCGGCTGATCGTGGTGTGTAGTTCCAAAAGTCAGTCCAAATTTTATCCCATTTTAATGAAGTGATCTTTCACTTGGATGCACACAATCTCCAGAATAAATCAAAATAATAGGTATGCAGAATAAGAGCTGAATCCATACCGACGGATATCGCGGCCATTACGCGTCAAGTTAGAGAATCAGGGCATATCGCCCGTGTGTGTACCGAAGACTCAAGACCGAACGCACGCGTTATCATGTACTCGATATTGGAGAGCGAGCCGTTTGATAAGCCGATGACAGTTACCGAGCACACACACCCACACCCACACACGCGCTAAGGCGCTGAACCTGCCGAAGGCCCAGCGAAGGAAAGCATGATGCCCCATTTGCCGGCCACGGGAGGGAGCTCCTCACCCATGGAGGTGTTGCCAGCCACGAGGCGCACGCTCTTGTCGCCCACCGTCATGTTGGAGAGGTCACTCAGAGCCTGCTGCAGGGTGGTGGGCAGGCGCCAGTCGTCCTTGGCCGAAGTCAGGGCGGCCGCACGGGGGCAGCCGGCGCAGGCCACGGTCGGCTGACAAGAGCCGCCAGAGCGGCCATGACAGCCGGCTGTCTCCTGCGGTCAGCCGGGGTCAGAGGGGTCAGTCAGGGCCGCGATCCACAGGTGTAGGTGAAAAGGTCAGCGACAGCCGGTAGGGTAAGGTCAATCAGTTAGACGAGTCAGCTGTATGGTAATTGGGAGAGATTCAGCTAGTTTTGTCACCCACTCGACAATGGTATCATTCGTTACATGCTTAGTTGATAACATTATTCGCCTAGTGGCACACGTACAAAAACCGTTGGTTGTTCGACTGTGAATAAATTTCAGAAGCTACATGTCATTGTAAACAACCAAATGATAAACTACGTACCCTATATATATATATATATATATATATATATATATATATATATATATAGTGTTGTAAAATATTTTTCATACAAATAGCGAAAACATCTTGACGAAATCCGCTTTTCCAGCTTGCTGGCAGCTACAGCCACCTCCCTGGATAACAAACGTGGCAAAATCAACAAGCATGGCTAAGCACACAGCGAGCGCGGAACATTTCCTTCCCGCAGGACGCGCTGTGCTTACCTCGATGTCCGCGACAAGGCGTTTGGTCTTGTCGTCGGCGTCCTTGTCGAAGGTCTTGAAGGCGTCCAGGATGGGCCTGTAGCCGGTGCAGCGGCAGAGGTTGCCGTCCATGGCCTGCTCCACCTCCTCCGGCGACACCTTCCCGTTCGACTTCAGCAGGCTGGTTGGCACATAAAGCCCTGCGTCACGCAGCGCACACGCGGCCGTCCACACCGCGCGACGGCTCTGGTTGTCGGTGAAGGGGATCAGTGGGACGTTTGGGAGCCATTTCTGTATTTGAGACAGGTCGGTGAGCTTGAACCGCTTGCATTTTCGCTCGTTAGTGGTGCGTGGTGGACATGGAGTCGTTATAACGTGACCGTAGGGGGTTTTCGATTGCTGTTTATCATCGTGAGTTCTTTTTCGGTTCGCTCTCCTTTGTGAGATGCGCCGCTGATCTGTTATGACGAAACTTATTACTTTACTCAATACAAATCTTTAAAAACTTACTTAACATTTAAAACTTGACTTAAAATAACTAACCGGTGTATTATAACCAGCTTCACGTCTCCTCTCCTGCTTATTTCTCTTCAGGTAATGGTGTTGAATTTCAACATATAATTTTGGATTTCATGACGAAGAAAATCGAATCCAAATCAACCCTGACAAATATACTTGCGTTTCAGTCACTTTAGATATTGGCTGCAGCATATCAATATTTACGTACTGCACAGGATTCAAAGCTACGCCGTGCCTATAGTGGTCGTTTGAACGTATAGATAAGTTGCTCATATGTAACCTCTTTTACGGGAACAACCATATCGATGCCCAGCTGCAATACGAACCTGTACATGGACATGACCATGCCGGGACTGCAGTAGCCGCACTGGGTGCCGTTCATGTGCGCTAGGCGAGCCTGCACCGGGTGGTAGCCGTCCCTCCTATTGCCAATCCCCTCCACCGTCTGCCGGTGCCCAAGCATAGCGGGGTTAGAATCATCTTCGTCCGAAGGTTCACGACAATTCAGCTGACCTAAATCGGAAACATAACCGTGTCTATTTCAAGATAGACGCATGTATACCTCAATGGGCAGGTGTTCCTGGAGACGTTCTTAACTCAAATAGCTGTCTGCACGCTACGGCCGAGGCGTTTCTTCTTGACTTCCCCCCGGCCAAGCATTCGATACGAAAAAGCTGGAAATGAGTGTAAAACGTAAGCGGCGTGCTATCTATGCCGTAGCTGTAGGCACCCACCTCTATTTGCCAGTCCTGGCAGGCCTTGATGGGCACCATGCAGGAGTTAACGGCACGACTCTCCATCTGACCCGTGGCCGGGTTCTGTGACGTCACGGTGACGACACAGGCTCCGCACATGCCCTCGCGACACATGGTCTTGGTGCCCGGCAGCTGCTGGTGCAGGCGTAAGTAGTCGGCCAGCGTCGTAGTGGACGTGACGTCACTGGTGACGCCGCCATCATTGGCTGATCGTTTTAGAACTGGAACCGAATAGGACACTTAGTTGTGGGCAAAACTCAGGTGCCATAAAAGTCTACGCTCTGGTAAACAGCGCTTCCATTATTTCCGCAAAAGACGCTAGCTTAGCATTTCAGGTAGAAGCCTCAGGTGTTCTCGCCGTCCCAAAGGTTTAAAAAACAATAACGCGATTATGGCTCATACATATTATGCTGATGTTTTGGCTGAACAGTTACCATCTTCAACGATGTTTTTATCGCACTCTGTTCGTCGTAGCCCATGCATGTATGTAATATCCATGTGTATTCTGTGCTAGGCTGTCTTTAAGGCATCGTTATGCCACACAGAAGTGAGTACACATCAGCAGCGAATATTTTTCGGCAATACAGAACGCACGTCCTGAGGAGGCAGCGCCGGCGTTCCATTTCCCACAGTTGGGTTGAGGCGTGAAGCTGACTTTCGCAGGCGCGCGACTTGCGCGGAATGGAGCCTGAGAGAATGACCGCTCTAGCGCAGCCGTGTGGAAAGAAAGAACGAAGCAACCAGGATGGACAGAACGATGTGCCAGGATCTTATAGGAAGCTCACCGAGACGCACCGCCCGCCTGCCCCGTTCGCTGAGCCTTCAGTTATGCGCCAGGTCTTGACTCAGGCCAGCAGTGCGTACCCAATCATGCATCATGAACAACAGCGGCCAACTCCCCTTCTCTCTTTTACTAACCTTTCCTCTATCGTTCACCCTAGCCCCCCCCCCCCCCCCTCTCCGCCGCTGCACGTTGGGCGCACTGACAAAATGTCAAGTCATGGTCAAACCATGACCTGGCATTGTTGCATTGCTGGTCTTGACTCAGGCGAGCAAGGTGCACCCAATCATGCACCATGAACAACAGCGACGGACTCTCTCCCCCCTCTTCCTCTGTCCTTTCTTCTCTCGCTCTGCCTAGCCCCTCTCTCTCTCTCCACCTCTGCACGTTGGGCGCACCGACAAAAGTGCCAAGTCATGGTCAAACCACTCAGAGGCGTCTCTAGACACGCTACAAAATGGAGGCGAACGTCGCGTGGAAGTTACTCAACGTCATCATGACCCAGCTATACCGGAAAGGCCTGACTCCACGATCTCTCCATGACTCGCACTATGCAGAGAGCGGCCCGCATAGCAGACTGAAGCGCGTGCGCAGCAGCGTTGGAGCTCACCTTGCTGAGGCTGATTGTTGACGGAGAAAATCAGCGCCGTCCCATCGCCTGCTGATGCCGGCATGGTGACGACAGTGCTGCGAAGAAAGGCAATCGGTATTCATGTAGCTAGAATACATTTCTTAAAGATGTGCACGTGTGCTGAACATGTTTTTCTCCTTTCTTTTAGTCGATTGAATGCTTTTTGCAACGGGTTATCACTGAATGTGACGACTGGTAAGAAAGTAGTCACCGCATGCGCTATGTGTCTGCATCGTCTGCAATACTCAATGATATGTAGCCTTGTCGCTGCAGGCTGCATATCCAACACCACCTTCTAACTCCCTGCAAGCCGTGACGTAATTCCGAGCTTGGGACCTTGAACTCACTGCCGTCCCAGCCAGAGCCCATGAATTGCCATTCAAGGACGGACCACCATCGCAACCAGCATGCGTTGGCAGTGTAGCCTTGACGGCCTGCGTGAGTTCCCGACGCCAGAGTGGCCCGGCGTTTGCGGTGCGAGCGGTGCCCTCGTGAAGCCCCTCCGTTCGTACAAGCAGAAGCCTCATGTTACGTACCGGGAAGCCGTTCACAATATTGCACTTTTGTTGACGGTGTGGAGGAAAAGAGAAGTGTGCGTTGGCCTTGTATTTCCGTATTTCCGACGCCGGAAATTAGGCTGTCATTGTAAGTCACGTCGTAAACATTGTAAGTCACGTCGTAAACGTTGTAAGTCACGTCGTAAATCCGTGTTACGTGGGTTGACCTACGCGCATCCTGTGGTATAACACACCACAACGTTGGCCCAGGATGACCCAGATCTTAATGTACCGCGAGAGTCGTGCAAACTAGAGCTGTGAATGGACCATAAATGATCATAGATCGTGACCCATAAGCGAGTCAATCAGACATCTAGCCCGTGCAACGCTGTTTCACACACTCAGGACATGGAATAGATGTCACACAGTTGTGGCTTCCGCTTGCTTTACTTGCGAAAGAGCCTAGCGTCGCTGGCGTCCGTACAGCACCGCCTCATGCCTCAAAGGACTCGTTCGCCACGCAATGACGCACATCGTGTCTCCATGAGATTGTCTTTGCTTGCATTTCCTGCATCTGTTCACAATGTTATGAGTCCAGAGTTATGCGGAGTTATCGGCCCTCAGCATACCAGAAGGTACTGATTAAATGGCGCTATAGGGCAAACATTAGTTATATTGGCAGTTTTCAACAACACTACAACCTATGGCTGCTCCGTGAAGTCGCTTTGCCTGTACCTCCTGCTGTAATGAAGGTCAATAACTTAGCATAAGAGCTCTGAACTCGTAACGCCGAAAAAGCAGGAGCAGAAAGCCCTTATAGCCAATATCCGTACGCGTATCGTCGACGGTACGTTTATTATTGCTCGAGGAGTACGGTACGTTTTCGGCAGCTTGGCCCCTGCCAACTTCCCGCTGCTACCCCTACGTGAATCGTCTCGCTGCTAATGCCAAAACATATTCCGTACTTGTGCACGTGGCACCTGGCTTGACACCGGTACCGGACAGCCGTGAATTTATGTCATGGATCGTCGCCAAGGTTAAATCTGCCGTATATGCAGATTTCACGGCGAACCATGCGGCTGTCCGCGCTTTACGACCGGCTAAGCAATGAGCACAGGAGACAGACAGACGGACAGACAGAACAACAGACAGACAGACAGACAGACAGGCTGACTGACTGACTGAAAGACAGACAGACAGACAGACAGACAGAGGAGACAGACAGACAGACAGACAGACAGACAGACAGACAGACGTGTAGACACGCACACATGTGAAACCCATGTAATAATTGTCCATGTAAAGTTTTTCACATGTTGGGAGTATTTAATGTATCGATTTCTGCACCCAGCTTGATGTCTCCTGCGAATGGGGACCCACAGTTTATCGCCACTCTAGCTACAAATGCTTTTGAATTCAGTCAATGACGAAGCAAGCCACCATGTGGATCACAAACTGCCTGCCTAAGGATCACAAATCTGCAGTGCCCCTTAGACCTGTCATACATGCGTGCGGTGGTCCTACCGCAGAAACTTCGTGACTTTTTAGGAAGAATACTTAATCAACTCTTGAGATTTTTCCCAATTGTCTGAGAGACACCAGATACTTTTGAAAAATCATTCACAGGCAGCAGGGTTGCCAGAGGGCAGCATTTTCCTCAGTTCATATCGCAATATACCAGTCAATGACGCTATCGATGCAGTGAAAACACGTGGACGTAGATTTCCGTGACATTTATGTTTTCGGTCTATCGAAAGGGGACATCTGCGGTCTTTTAGGACATTGTCTCCGGAATTATATTTTCTCGTTCGGAGATGACGACATTGCGTGTGGTAATGGAGGACCCATGCGCTCCGCCTCTGCCGATCATATTTTTTAACCAATTTAAAACTAAGGCGCTATCTGTCCGCCCACTAAAACCGACTTCTCAGCTAGGGGCATCGATTATTATGGTGGAGTATGGACAAACAGACAGAGTGCCCTTGATAAATTTTTAAGGTTCATGAACAACCAGCATCCAAAGTAAGCCTTTGCAATGGAACATACAGGGGGCGGAAAGGGGTCCCATATTTTGATACACCAGTGACGGTGGAAAGGAGGAACAACCACGCAACGTTGGAAATGAGGCTCTTTATCAAGCTAATTAACTCTAGAATAATTCTACTCCGCGAATCTGCGCATCCAACTTCCACTCAGCACAATGTGGAACGTAATATGTTCCATAGGACTTAACAACTCAAGTAGTGAAAATGAAGGAAAGAGTAGAAAACGGAATATGGACTTTGCTGTTGGACAATTTATGTTCTCCGCGTCTTTTAGGTAGAGTGCTAAACAAATTTAGAGTCTGTGGCAATGGACGACCCATGCGCTCCGCCTCTGCCAATTATATTTTTATGGAAGAGCTAAACAAATCTACAGTCTGTGGAGGATAAGTGGTAGGAGGCGGGAACACGTCCTTTCGGGCGAAGAATTCTTAACACCACCTTGCAGAGATGAGCACTTGCTTTAGAAATTCAAACATATTGTTAGAAAATAAAAACTGTGCGTACGGATAGCCTGGGAGATTGACAATAAGCTAAAAAGTATCTGGTGAAACCTTCTGTCTCGAAGCTTAAGCGGGAGGGTGGCAATGGATGTTCTCCCCGACTTTTGGGTAGAATGCTGGAAGAGGTGAAACAAATATAGAGCGCGTGGAAGAGCGCAGGAGGCGGAGACACGTCCTTTCAGACGACGCATTCTTAACACATATTTTCCCTATAGGGTGGCAAAAGATGCTGTTTGTGCAAATCTGTGTTTCAGAGGGTTTACACACAAAAAATATGGTTAACGACATTCAGTGTAAACTGTGTGAACCACATGAGAGAGATATAGTCTATGTCGGGGATTACATGCGCCCTTTTCGTTTGAGATATAATGAACACCTGCGAGACGCTTAAACGAAAAAAGGAAATACCCTTTTCGGTGACCTTTTTTGGCAGAACAAGTTCAGGCTGAAATCTGGGTAGGTATGGACCCTTTACCTCACTTAGAGCTCAAAACCATCCACAGAGCACAAGACTATCAGACAGGGAAATACGTGAATCCACCTTTATGAAAAGTCGGCGACCAAATCTTAACGCACACGGCTCATATGGCCACCGTGCAAGCGTGACGGGTGCCTTGATATGTGATGCGTGGTGACTTGAAATCGTTTACACGTATGAGTGATGCCTGACGCGTGATTCGTGATGCCTGTTTAATTGGAATCAATGACATGCATAGTTGATGCGTAATGCGTGATGCCTGGTAACTTGAATTTGTTTGCATGTACACGTATTTTCCTCGCTTGACACCCGGTCAGCTATGCCTAATATGATCAACCGGATGCCAAACGCCACATCTTACACACCTGAAACAGCAAAATTGAACAATGAGCTTGCGACCTCAATCATTCTTGGGACTACAGTCCCCCCCCCTCCCCCCAAACACAAGGCTGCCTATTACAAACAGAAAAACACCCAGAGATCCAAACATAACCAGCTAGTGTATATGCGCCTGTCACATGTCAACGGAACGGCAGTTCGACGGGTAAACGGAATAAGCAGCAGGGCTAAAGCGCCTATCAGGGTGGTTTGGGTCAGCGAGCTCACCCTGAAACAAAACCTTGCGGGTTCAGCTTTTAAAAATCCGCTTTACCTGCGCGATTGTCAGCGCTGACATACCCTTAATTGAGGTTTATCTGATAATTTACTTTAAAGAAAACGTGGCGCATAAAATAGCATGCAGGCTTTATGGACTGAAAGTCGTGCGAAGGGGAGAGCAACAGACTAGTCAGGTGTCCGCTCAATGGACTTTTGGAGACGCCCGGGTACGTAGACTTGACACGCAATTGGATGAGCATGCCTTGCAATGGCATGCCAATACTCTAAACTAATAAATCCGAATCATACGCTGCCTTTCAGGTCGAGTTTCTTTCAACTAACTGAAATCGTACCGAGTTTAAAACTAATGAATCTTTCCATGACAGAAATTTAAACCCAACCCCAGGCACAATGATAAATCCTTGGTCTCTGGTTTCATTTGTTGGGCAAAACATGTTTGCGGTTTTGTCTCCACTGTAATCTGAACATGTAGTGCGAGTCATCTAGAACAGAGTGTAAGGTTTCAGTTATTCCGTTCTCATCGCTCGGACTGGCTCCAATGTATTGGTCTTCTTATGACATATATTCGACAAATGTTTGACTTAAATATGATATCGTGACATGTAACATCACGAACTGCAGTGACTATTAGTGAATCTCACGAACTGCAGTAACTATTAGTGCTGAAGCAAGGGTGAGTATGCCTTTAAAAATGTGTCTGGAGAAAAAGGGAAAAAGCTTACAGCCGGTAGATGGCTTGACGGCGACAGATCGCATTTCATTTTTCTCTAAAATATTACAAATGACATGAAGTTGATCTTAACTTTCTCTGATTATAATGCCTACAATCCTGTCAGAAACCCGCTAGATGCTAAAAATGCTTTCAACTTCGTGGCCTTTGCACAGTCTGTTTTCCAACGTTTGTGAAAAGGATCTACCTGCTGGATGCCAAAACGTATCCCCCTCTCGCACGTACTGCAATTAACACCAGCATTGTGCGGGCGGTATTTTTGTCGTGAACCACCACGAAGACTGAGCCCGTGGTTCGTGCAAATTTCACGGCAATCCATACAGCCGCCTGCGCCGTAAGTCTTGCGAAACAAGTGTGTGCAGACAGACAGACATACACTCAGAAATTGGTGAATTACGTTTCGCAAGCTTGAACGTTACGTAATTCATCCGCGACTTGCTCTCTCTCTAACGGAGAAATCTCGCTCTCCTGGAGCTGGGTGACAAATGACTTCAACCTCTCACCTGGCAAAGTTTCTCGACAGTCGTTACCCGCTGCGCCCGAGAGCTCGCCCGGTCCGCTGGTGCCGCCGCGAACGTGTGCGTCACTCCGCACGACGGTCCGCCACGCTCTACCTGTGGCGCTGCACTGACGGGCGCGACACGCACCTTGCCCCGAGTGGGCCCGTCTCCAGGGCCGCGGCCTCGGCACCGCTGCAGCCGCCGGTGGCGCCGCCGGCGGCTGCAGAGGCGGCCGCTGCGACGCGCTGAAAGCGGCGGTGGCGCCACCGTCGACGGGGTGGAGAGCACGGATCGCCGCGGTTGCATCCGCACGATTCACTGCGGCGGTGGGCGGAGGCTGACGCGTGCCCGGATCTCGAGGGCGAATCCAGGATCCCATAGGGATCCACGTTGATGGGATACCGGGATGGGATCCTGCTCTCCCTGTTTGGGCTTTTGGCACTTGCTGGCCGGAAAGTTCTGCAAGTAAGAGACATGGACGATGCGAATTGCGGAATGGAGATTTGCGGAATGGAGGTTAGAGATTAGAGACATTTGTGCCAACGGAAACCATCTGAGCCTACTATTTTATTATTCTCGTTCAGTTTAAATTTTTGGGCTGGACTACATCGCACACAGCCAATCTTTTCACACATAACATGACATCTAAATACTTAGTAAAATATACGATTTCGCAGATTTTTTTCTTCTTCTTTGGCGCCACCCAGAATATCGGTATTGAGTTCGACATTCGAGTTCGACGGAGCGCTCGTATCAACACTCCGCAGCAAACTTCTCACCCAGTGATAAATAACCACGCAATCTCCGAAACACGTAAGGATCATACATCCAACGAATTCTTCCGGTCTTATCGGACCCGCCAAGGACCAAAGCCCAAGTCGTTTGACTCATTTGTCAGTGCCGTTTGGGCAGAGCAAGCATAAAACGGAATATCTTTTGAAATTGCATGTTATGAGACTGCTTGATCCGGGGATAACTTTGCTGCATGAAACAGCCAGATCGGCCGGCTTGTGAGGTAGCTTTTCCATGGTTTGACCAACACTTAAGTAGCTTGTTTCGTTTGTGAGGCAAACCACGTAGCCCTCGCCCAGATTCGCCGTTTCTCATAACGCAAACTGATAAGGGAGGGGGGGGGGGGCGTTGCGACCCCCACGTACTGCGTTTTCAAACCAAGGAAGATAAAGTAGAGCAAACAAAAACATGGTGGGATCGGTGTCGCCGAAATGTCGTGATTTTTAATAATTTGTACACTGTTGGGTAAAAAATTGATCCCATTATGCCAGGCCAAAGGTCAACGTTTCCCGAAATCGCACTTTTTCAGCTTTACAACCGAATAAATACGAGACCATGCCTTGCAGCGACATAAAACCTAAACAAGCATGCTCATTGCTCATTTTTGTGCACAATGGCGCGTAGTTTGATGTGGTCTGAGCATATGCTTATAATGTATGGCTTCGCTAATCTAGCAATGTCGGCCGGCTGCGCGCGTTCCGCGGCATCATCGGCTGCCGCCCGCCGGGCGCGGTGACGAAATATCGCTGTGCAGTGTTCCTCAAAAACCGCTGCTACTCCGACACCAGAAATGCTAGCGACACATTTTTTATGTCAAAGCACGCGCCATAGGCCACTGAGAATTTGGGGCGATCATTCGACACGCCGGAGTAGTAACTTAAAAAAGACTTTAAGGGGGCGGGGTCGCATCGATCACCCCTATCAGGGCGAGAGCTAGAGGTAGTACGCCAACTTTTTGTACTTTTCACTTATTTTTAGATCAGATGCGTACAACTTGATCAGTAATACTAGTAATACTACTAGTCAGTAATACTACTAGTACAGATCAGTAATACTACTAGTTTTCTCAAAATCCGCCTGAATAAGTCAGAATTACTATTTGAAGTAGCCGCTGCTGCGATAAAACCTTATTGAATCCCTGCTCATCACCATGAACGTGTCACATTTTAGTTGCCTTGCCTTTCCCGACATGTGTGTTTTGTAATGTTTGCAACACACTTGTCAAAGTGTTTGCGTGAAAAATGCTACGAAGGCTTGAAACACTGCTTAGACAAAAAGGCCAGCAAACATGAAGCTATTATATCTCCGATTTAACGAAACTTTATACGATGGGTTTGATTTATCCCTTCTGGCGTTCACCACAGTGGCTTTTTCGGGGCGCATTTTGACTTTGGAAATGGGAGCATCGCATGGTCATAGGGACGCACTGGAACGAACTTCGACCAATGCGTTTCTCGGTAACAGGCCCTTGCCGCCCAGTTGGCCAATCACAAACGTTCTTTTCCCCGCATCAGAAAAGGTGCCACGGCAGTTGTCATGCGATGGTGGTCGCGAGAACTGCAGGGTGTTTGGGCAAGAAAATATCCGTGAAAAAAATTAATATCCGTGTTATGCCTTGGGAGTGCTTCAGTGACACTAACCGGTGCTATTAGTCGACATAACTGGTTCTGAGGTTTTTGCTGGGGTATGTTTTTGAAATATACCCAAAAAGTGAGACACTCCCTCCAGGCGTATATCTTTTGAAAACATCACCTAGAACAATCCGTGCGGTACTGGATCCACGCATTTTTTTTATAGTAAGCGCGTTTAGCGACCAGTGAGCATTGCTGTAGAGTTTTGATACGACTGCTCCGCCGAGCCTAACATCGGTGCTCTGACTGACATAAGAGGACAACGAAATTATCTGGAGAAGTTTTTTCTTCTTTCCCAAGCCATCACATATCCTGTGTGGGAAAATCGGATGTGTATCCTGTATGTTTATTATTTGTTCCAAACTGAAGCTGAAACTGAACTGAAAATGTAAATTCAAGGGGCTCACGTGGTTTCCATAAATACCAATAGCTCTCATCTCGATTTAAGTTTTTTCTTTTAAAAAAAATTATCTAATCTATTCACTTTCAACATTGCAAAGCCCATTGCCTGTGTCGCTTACTTGAAAGACCTTCCGGTCACCGCCGCAGTTTATCGTGCGGCTGCATCTGCGACCATCCCCTGCGCCCCAGCTCGTCGACAGCGGCTCCACCAGGGTCTCACGGTTGCGCCGCTGTGCCCGTCGCCGCGGCTGCCCCGGAGCCGGGCGGGCCTAGCCCGAGGAGCGTGCGTTGATTAGTGCATCGGTACAGGAGAAGCGGGGCAGACAACCTTGTGAAGCGGCGCACACGTTCGTGACGGGCACTGCCGGAGAGAGTGTGGTGTCGCACTTAAGCCGACAGCAACAGGTAAAGGACTGTTCAGAGCGGTAAGAAAATGGGTCACCCGTCACTCAACAATAAGAGCGCGAGAGTTCCCCATCGAGAAGTGCTCTCGAAGGAGTTGCGTAACGTTCGCTGGGCCGATAACTCTAACTACCCCGGTCCTGCGTTCTGCCCTAGCATGCATATGATGCCATCGGCCATTAACTCAACACACCAGTAAGACATTGTGCTAATGAGATGGTACATTTGCTGTATCAGTAAACTATGTGATAATTAATTGGATTTTCATCAAAGGCTATAAGCAGAATTTATATGCCGGAAGAAGAATCTGCATACAACAGTCAGCCATGCATTTCAGACTTATGCGCTGGAAAAATGAAAGATATTGTGGCGTTGACCATATACATTTGGCAGATATCGTCTTTTTGGGCTGTTTGCATTAGTTTCGCTTGGCATGACGAAATATGTGTGAGTATTTCAGAGAAATTTGCGGTGGTTGGTTTTTGGCTTCTCCTTTTTGGCGATGATTATTCTGACGCACGGAAGTGTTAATTCAGTAGCTAACGCGGTGGCGGAGAGTGTGGTGAATACCAACGCTATTCAATGCGTGTTTTGGGCACGAAGATTAAAAGCTCGCGTGGCTTGCCGATGAAAAATAACTAACGTTGTTCCACTGCTTCCAAAAGTTGCTGTGTTTGTCGAACCCCGTCCTTGTTTTGCTGGTATTATTGCAATTTTTTGTTGTTGCACGAACAACAGTTGTGCGTACTTACCTATACATATATTTTTTGAAAGGTTAGCTACAGCTTTCTCTCACCTCGCTGCATTTGCCCGCCCAATTCGCAGCCCGTATGTCCCAAACCGCTCAGGAGGTAGGTTTATTGCAAGTCTGGCTATATTCCCTTGCAACATTTAGGGCACCTTTTCTCTCAAAGCTTCCAATGCCCATCATCTCAGCCTAGCAAAAACTTGATACCAAGCTCGTCAACGGCGTTAATGCTACAAACTGACCCGCAGCTATCGCGCAAACCATGGTGTGATTTTAAATCACGTGCGCAGCATCTCTTCTGACCCTTGGCGGTGAGGGTGCCAAGAAAATGCTTGAGAAAGGCCAGGTCCTCGGTGGCCTTTGCAGAGCCTGGTTAGAGGGAATGTTCCACTCCCTTTAAGCAGAGTTTTGAAATGAAATAGTCATCTTGACTTTTCGATGCAATTCATAGCCCTGTCTTGCTAAAGACCTAAACCCCTCTAGTTTCTAGGCTTCACGACCGCGCAAATGGGGAAAAAAATTTCGGGAGAGTATTTTGAGGAGAGTATTTCAAACTCACATTGGCACTCATGGCGTCATAATAACGTCATTCCAATCCCGCAATTTCATAAGTCATGTGGAAATCAAGGCTGAGGAAAATATAACGGTGGAGTCGTTCACATCTGGCCTTCGTGACCACAATTTCCAGATACAACCGCCGTCAATTCACTTTCCATCAATGCTATGCAAGGTACGATGACGTAAACAAGGAAGTATGGAGAAGCAGATGTGCCAAAGAAAGAAACTGTGGTGTCAAGAACCGTTTTTTCCACCTAAAAGCATGCCAATAGTTATTAGTGATCTTTTTATCGTATCTGATGCCTGCCTAATATCTTAAAATGTGAAACATTAGTTTTAACAACACCAAGTGTTGATGTCTCGCTAAGTTAGCGCCACTCGCACTCCAAGCGTCAGATGGCACAGACGTCACGAGGCATTGGGAGACCTTGACACTGCTGTCAACGAATTCAGGCGGGCGCGACACCTGTCCTTGGAATGCTAATCGATTGGCCTTTGGCACGGTGGGCTTCAAGGCTCAGTAAATAGAAGGATGTGAGGATAGGCCGGAATGAATGCCGATTTTG